CTACTGCTGGTGCTGAGGACCCTGGAGTTGGAGCTGCTGCTGGTGCTGAGGACCCTGGAGCTGGAGCCGCTGCTGGTGCTGCGGACCCTGGAGCTGGTGCTACTGGCGCAGGAGCTGCTGGTGGTGCTGCTGGAGGTGCTGCTGGTGCTGGAGCTGCTGGAGACGCTGCTGGTGCTGGAGGTGCTGGAGGTGCTGGTGCTGCTGGCGCAGGAGCTGCTGGTGGTGCTGCTGGAGGTGCTGCTGGTGCTGGAGCTGCTGGAGACGCTGCTGGTGCTGGAGGTGCTGCTGGTGCTTCTGGAGGTGCTCGTGCTGGAGGTCCTGGAGCTGCTGGGGTTGCTGGTGGTGCTGCGGGAGTTGTAGCTGGAGACCCTGGGGCTGAGGGTACTGGTGCTGTCTCTGCTGGTTCAGGAGGTGCTGAGCGGCCGCGGCCATACTACGTTCCGCTCCTTCAGCAGGTTCTTGGCCTCCCGCCCTCTCCTGGTCCTACTCCTCCCCTACTGAGTCCACCGCCTGTCTTGTCGCAGTCACAGTTACAGCCAGCCTCTCCACTGCCTGGTCCTTCTCCTTACGCTGAGCCGACGGGAGGTTTTACGGAGCGTCGTGAGCCTGAGTCTCGTCCTCCGTCGCCTGAGTCTCGTCCAGAGTCGTCTGAGTCGCGTCCAGAGTCGCCTGTCCGCGCTGTCCGCGCTGGTCGTCGTGCTCCGCGTCAGCGTCCTCCTCCTATCCTTGGCACTCACTATATGACCCTGCGTCCTTCCACTGCTCCACAGCGTGTCCCTCTGTCGTCTCCTCCAGCGTCCTCTCTTCCTGCTCTTGCTGACCCGGAGTCTGACTCTCTTCGTGCTGCCAGTCCTACTGTCACGCGTCTCCTCGCCACTGTTGTTACTGACCCTTCCTTTGAGTCCTCTGCTGCGTCTGCTCTAGTCGCTGAGCTTGTTGACTTTGCTGCCGCCTGTCGTCTAGACTACGCCACTAGCCTTGTTGCTGAGTCTGAGTCTGTCTGTCCTCCGTCCGTCGGGGGTGAGTGTGCTCTTGGCACGGACGTCCTTGAGGACAGACAGGAGGAGTTTGAGTGCTTTGCCGCTGCTTTACCTCATCTCGTGTCCATGCTGATTGCCCCTGAGGGAGACCCGGATGCACCAGATATCCCGACCCCACGCTCTTACGCAGAGGCGATGGAGGGTCCCTACTCCTCTCAGTGGCAGACAGCCATGGACGCAGAGATGGCCTCTTGGAAGTCCACAGGCACCTACGTCGACGAGGTTCCCCCACCTGGGGCGAACATCGTCAGTGGCATGTGGATTTTCAGGGTGAAGCGGCCGCCGGGTTCTCCGCCTGTCTTCAAGGCGCGTTACGTTGCATGAGGCTTCAGTCAGCGAGAGGGAGTTGACATCTTCCAGACCTTCTCCCCGACCCCGAAGATGACCACTTTTCGGGTTCTGCTGCACGTCGTCGCTCAGCGTGACTACGAGCTCCACTCTCTTGACTTCAGCACTGCGTTCCTACAGGGCAGCCTGCACGAGGAGATCTGGCTGCGCCGCCCACCTGGCTTCACTGGGTCGTTCCCTCCTGGTACCCAGTGGAGCCTTCGGCGGCCAGTCTACGGTCTCCGCCAGGCACCCCGTGAGTGGCACGACACACTGAGGACTACTCTTGCTGCTCTTGGGTTTGCTCCTTCTACTGCTGACCCGTCGCTGTTTCTACGCACCGACACCACTCTGCCGCCGTTCTACGTTCTCGTGTACGTAGACGACTTGGTCTTTGCTACTGCTGACACTGAGGCACTCGCCCACGTGAAGTCGGAGTTGCAGAAGAGACACACGTGCACAGACCTGGGTGAACTGACAAGCTATCTTGGCTTGCGGATCACCCGGGACAGAGCACAGCGCACCATCACCTTGACTCAGTCACACATGGTGCAGCAGGTCCTTCAGCGCTTCCGCTTCACGTACTCCTCGCCTCAGGCCACTCCTCTGCCTACCGGTCACTCGCTCTCAGCTCTGCCTTCGGATGAGTCCGTAGAGCCGAGTGGCCCGTATCCAGAGCTTGTGGGCTGCCTCATGTACTTGATGACCTGCACTCGACCTGACCTTGCATACCCTCTTAGCATCCTAGCACGCTATGTTGCTCCTGGCCGTCACCGGAAGGAGCACATGGATGCAGCTAAGAGGGTGTTGCGCTACTTGTGCAGTACGTCGGGCATGGGGCTTGTGCTTGGAGGACGGGCTCGAGTTGTCCTCACTGGGCACTCAGACGCTTCTTGGGCTGACGACCAGGCTACGCAACGGTCGTCTCAGGGTTACACCTTCAGCCTTGGCTCTGGTTCAGTTTCTTGGCGTTCTACTCGCTCGTCTTCAGTTCTCAGCTCCAGTTGTGAGGCTGAGATCTACGCCACAGCCATGGCTGCACAGGAGTTACGCTGGCTCACCTACCTGCTGACCGACCTGGGAGAGCGGCCTCGTTCTCCTCCAGTGCTGTACGTTGACAACAAGGCCGCCATTGCCTTGTGTCAGGAGTACAGACTGGAGCACAGAACGAAGCACATCGCTCTGCGCTACTTCCTTGCTCGAGAGCTGCAGCAGCGTGGTCAGCTTCGTCTTGCTTACGTGGCCACTCGGGCCAACACTGCTGATGTGTTCACCAAGGCGTTTCAGCCGAGGTGCCCGAATCTGCCCTTAAATTTACGGGTTGATTAAGGACGAACTCAAGACTCGATAATAGGGCTACAAAGTGTTATGCACTTTCCCTACCGTACAAATGGACATAGTGCAATTTTAGCCTCATCAACAGTGCGAGCTTTCAACCTAATTCATGTAATCACAACTTTGCAAAATGAAGTGCTTATCATTTTACGGCACCGGTAGCTTGCTTTTGTTGAGATAAAGAAAATCCTTGATCGCAATTCAGTACGGTAGTTCGACAAATACAGAGCGGTGATCTTTTAAGGTTGTGAAATTGTAGCTAGTGGCTGTTCATGAATTGCGTGACGCTGCAGTGGTGGTTATAATTTCGGTAGAGGCTCTGTTGAACACACATATACATTAATTATTGTTCTCATACACCACCTCATTAAAGCGAGCAGGCAAAATAGTGACCCCGTTTTCTAGTTGGGTCCAGGTTGAAGTGGCGGGAAGGAGTGCGGGTGGATGGCCAGAATTTGCGCGCCAAAAAAAATGAGGCATGTACCCCACGGTTGTGGGGAGCAAAAAAAAAGCAGGGTCCATTTGATCGCATGTGCGGTTGGCGACAGCATTGTGAATGCATTAGCGAGCAAACCTTCTCCTCACCCAATCATGTGTAGGATATGCATCTTCTGATTGGACCGTCAAGGCAGAATGAACACCCCTGCAGCACCTGCACCCCGCGACAGAAACACCCCAATTGAAACATATTCAACAAAAGCGAATGAGCAGCGCTCATCTCGAACACGCCCTGCCTACCCCCTGACTAAGGCCCTGTTCGATAGCACTTTGGGCCCCCACGACGCAACCATTTGGTTTGGCTCTGTCGCCCAAATGGTTCAGCGTCGCGACAAAATGCAAGTGGTAGGACAGCGCCGGCAGTGTAATCATTTTGGCCGACCCGAAGACGGCCGAGGTGGTCGAAAAGCTCCACCTCAACGGCCCTTTGAAGCGGACTGTTTCCAGCCGCGGGGTCTGCCCGAGGGTTCGACGGTCTGCGTAAAAACAAAAGCCCCACCCAAATGTTTGTGCTGAAAATGCATAGAGTATTCCAGATCGGTTTTAGGATTAGTTAGGTGTGTCGAAAGGATTTGTGGTGTGACTGGTTTATACCTTTTGTTTGGCACGACTATCCCTAAATAGCCCATTGGTCTGGCATTGGGGCCACTCATTTGAAAAGTAACATTGGCAATGGTCTGAAATTTTACCAGGGATGGGCTGTAATGATTAGGCGACAGTCACTGTTACTGCGCGCTGTGGTGTCAAACCACCCCGTTAAAATTCCCGCCATGTTTTAGCAGCTGGGCGGGAAACCAAGGGCATCGCAGGGGGGTCGTTCGCAATGGCGGGAATTATGTACCATCGCATGGGGTCGCAAACCGTTTCCCGCCCAAGGAACAAGGCCACCTCAATGATTTCTGGCATGGGTCACCCTCGCTATCGAACAGGGCCTAAATGTGCGGGACCAAAGCCGCTCGACACTGAGTAGCATAGCCACAGTAGCACCTCCCGCGGCGATTAGTCGAAGCTAGTGATGAGCCCGTTTAGGCACGACGCAGCGCGCGATAGCCCGAGACCAGAACCGATCGAAATGTTGCATGCGCGGATTTGTGCAAGTAAATCCGTTTGTGCCTGTTTCTTCCCGTGCACGTGACTGATTTAGTCGCGAAGCTGCATTAATTCAACACCTCCTCGTCGCCCTCGCCTCGCGATTTCCCACGCGCTTCTCCTCGTCGCCCCTGCTTCGCGATTTCCCACGCGCTTCTATTCGTCGCCCCCGCCTCGCGATTTCCCACGCGCTTCACCTCGTCGCTCCCGCCTCGTCATTTCCCACGCGCTGGACCGCGTCGCCCCCGCCTCGCAATCTGTCCCACGCGCGGAACCTCGTCGCCCCCGCCTCGTCGTTTCCCACGCGCTTCTCCCCGTCGACCCCGCTTCTTCATTTTCTCGCGCGCGCAGCCTATACTCGCACATGAAGTCCGCCAATGATTCCCCCGGTAACACACCTCCAACCACCCGAATCGCCTCTTCCTCCCTCCATCTCTCCTGGGAACCCCCATCTCTACCCTCTCTTCCTCTCTCTCCATCCCTCACTACCTTGCTCTCTTCCCCATGTCCATCCGCGGTTATCATGTACCCCTCTCAGGAGAGAGGGGTAAGGACCGAGGGTTTGAGACAAAGGGACAAGGACTCAGGGAGGGAGACAGAGGGGGAAGGACAGATTGGGAGAGGCATAAGGGGAAGGACCGAGGGGGAGAGAAAGAAGGGGAAGGACAGATTGGTACGAACAGATTACAATTCCACCAAACTTCTGTGCGCTTACACCTCAAGCACCTCCATAACAATCCAAATGCCCCCAAAGACCTCTTCCATGACTGTAAGAGCATCGCCCCCCCGCACGCTACACCAGCTGTGCACTGAAGAGAGAAGAGCAACATCAACCTTACAAACCATACAGTGTCCAAGTAGCACATTGTACCCTTACTAAGGTTAGTAAGGCTCGGTGAAGATGGCCAGCCTTGCGGGACACCGCATCCGAAACCCTGATGATGGGGATCGTCACTGTTGGGCATTTGGGGTTCATGGACACATTGATGAATGCGTTAGAAATCTAGCTCCAACCAGCATGTTCGACAACATCTCCGAATAGCAAATAAAAGTTCTGAACGCATATACGTCATTTGCGGTAACCATGCCCGTCCATCTCACTTTGTGGCTGCTGTCGTTGTTGGAGCTGATTCGTCCACCATGTTCGTCACACCTCCCCTGCTTGTCGGCATGTGTCGGCCCCTCCCGACACCCATGCCGGATGTCGCATGTTCTTGATCCTCACCGCCGCTCCCCTCGTTGCTCCCATCGCCCTCTGCGACTGCCTCCTCCTGCAACCCCTCCTCAACATCCGCGCTCGTGGTTCCGCCTGCCATATCCTGCTGCGTCATGCCATAGTAGGGCTCCCGCAGCGTGCCGGCACGGGTTGTAATGCGTGGCAGATGCCGTGGGGACTTTGACCGCGCCCTTTGTTGGAATGTCCCGGGCACTGAACATGGGGGTCGACACGTAGGGGCGACATTTGAAAATGAGATAGAACACGCTGAGCATGTTGTAACTGTAATACCAGTTACCCACCAAAAAATATATAAGCAAAGTAACACATCCTGACATACAATATCCACAATTCCAATGCATCACTCATAAGAATATAGCCTCTTATCGGACATTTTCAGCGACTGATAGGCTGTTCCACGTCTGGCCCCACCCCATCGAAACTCAGGCACCGGCTCAGCGGCGTTCTGCTCCTCCGGCGTTGCGATAAAGCTGTACTCCAAACCACCGATTGGTGTCGAGCGGAGGGAATAAAGCTCCCTCACTGTAGGGAATCCTTGACCTCTCTTCCTTACTCGCACTGATGACGCGTGTGCATCGACACCCGCTTTGAACGAAGACTTGACGCCGTATCCCCTCGCATCTTCACCACATGCGCACAAGGCATTTCGCAACTTGGTAAACCACATTGACAGGGATGAGCATGTGCTCAGCATGATGGATTTAGGGTGAGATTGTGATGCAAATCTGATTGAGGATTTGATAGGGATGGGCATGTGGGCAGTAGGATGGGATGGGTTGCGATGTGTATGTGCTTGAAAATTATGGAAAAACATGAACAGCTTGGTGAATGACATTCAAACAGATGTGCATCTGGGCTATCGGATGACAAAGATGGGCTGGAAAGACATTAGGATGGGGCAAAAGAGCATGGTTGATTCGTTTGTCATACCTGCAGCAGAGGCTGCGTCAACTAAATAGTCGACAAGAGCGGGGGCGGCTTCGATGAACAAGAATACCATATCACTGTCTCGTGGCACGCAACCACCTCCCATGAGGCTTGCCAATCCGCAGCGTAGGATGGCCCATGGTGTGGTCAAGTGACATCTGAGAGTGAGTTTTCTTTTGTGCAGCAACTTGTGCAATGCCTTGGACGTCGCAGTCTCCCTGGCTACACCATCCGGCACTAAGGCAGCACGGCCAATACCCTCTTCGCCACCCTCCCTATCTGCGCCAGACATGTGAGCTAAGTCAGCGGGGGGCCGCAGGCGTGTCTGAAATTGGGGACAGAGGGGAAGGCAAAATGGGGAGGGACAGAGGGAAGGAAAGATGGGGATGGACAGAGGGATTGGCAAATTAGGGAGTGACAGACGGATGGCAAAAAGGGGAGGAGAAGAGGAGATGGGGAAGCACAAAGGGCAGGGAAACTGGGGGGGTGGGGGGCAGAGGGAAGGGGTAATGGGAGGGTTATATAGAAAAGGGGATTTGGTAAGGGACAGAGGAAGTGGCAATCGGGAGTGACGGAGGGAACACGTGAAGTGTATTGGAAAGGGAATCAGGGAGTGACAGAGGGAAGGGGTAATGTGGAGGGACGGAGGGGAGGGGAAAGGGTTGGGACAGAGGGAAAGGGTGGATGGAGTGTTGGAAATGGGAAATGGGGAGGGACAGAGAGAAGGGGAAATGGGGAGTGACAGGGGCAAGGTGTAACATGCAGTGTTGGGAACGGGGATTGGGGAGCGACAGAGAGAAGGGATATGTGGAGGGGCAGATGGAAAGGGAATTGGGAGGGACAGAGGAAAGTGGCAATGGGAGGGACAGGGGGGATGGGAAATGGGAGGGATTGAGGTCAGGGGAAATGGGAGAGACAAAACGGAAGGGGAAATTGTGGTGTGAGAAAGAAGAGGAGATGGGGAAGCACAAAGGGGAAGGGGATAAGGGGAGTGACAGGACAAGGGGACTTGGGCTGGTACAGGAAGGGAACATGGGGAAGGTCAGAGAAAATTGGAAATGGGGAGGGACAGGGGTAAGGGGATAAGGGGAGTGACAGGACAAAGGGAAATGCTGAGGCACTGGGGGAAGGGGATACATGGAGTGACAGGGGGAAGGGGAAATGGGGAGTAACCGGGACAAGGGGAATTGGGCTGGTATCGGAAGGGAACATGGGGAAGGTCAGAGAAAAGGGGAAATGGGGAGGGACAGGGGTAAGGGATAAGGGGAGTGTCAAGATAAGGGGAAATGCTGGGGGACTGGGGGAAGGGGAAACACGGAGTGGCAGGGGAAGGAAGAAATGGGGAGTGACAGGGACAAGGGGACTTGGGCTGGTACAGGAAGGGAACATGGGGAAGGTCAGAGAAAAGGGGAAACGGGGAGGGACAGGGGGAAGGGGATAAGGGGAGTGACAGGACAAGGGGAAATGCTGAGGGACTGGGGGAAGGGGAAAATGGAGTGACAGGGGGGAAGGGGACATGGGGAGTGACCGGGACAAGGGGACATGGGCTGGTACTGGAAGGGAACATGGGGAAGGTCAGAGAAAATGGGTGCCTGAGAGGGACAGGGGGAAGGGGATAAGGGGAGTGACAGGACAAGGAGAAATGCTGAGGGATTAGGGGAAGGGGAAACATGGAGTGACAGGGGACTGGGGATATGGGGAGTGACAGGGACAAGGGGACTTGGGCTGGTATTGGAAGGGAAAATGGGAGGGACAGAGGGTAGGAGAAATGGGGAGGGACAGGGGGAAGGGGATAAGCGGTGTGACAGGACAAGGGGAAATGCTGAGGGACTGAGGGGTGGGGAAATGGGGAAGGGACAGAGGGGAGGGGAAATGGGGAAGGGACAGAGGGAAGGGGAGATGGGGAAGGGATAGAGGGAAGGGGAAATGGGGAAGGGACAGAGGGAAGGGGAAATTGGGAAGGGACAGAGAGAAGGGGAAATGGGGAAGGGACAGAGGGAAGGGGAAATTGGGAAGGGACAGAGGGAAGGGGAAATGGGGAAGGGACAGAGGGAAGGGGAAATGGGGAGTGACAGGGGCAAGGGGAATTGAATTTGTACAGGAAGGGGAAATGGGGAGGTCAGAGAAAAGGGGAAATGTGGAGGCTGGGCCGGGCCGGGCTGCTGATGTCCCTTCGCACGGATGGCCTGGGGCAGACACATTGGGCATAGGGTGGTTGGCAAATTAGGGAGGGCAAGCGAGGGTGTGTGGGAGGGCGACATTGCATGAGCCCCAATGCCGATCAACCCCTCTTTCAAGCATCGAAAGGGTGTGAAGAGGATGGGTGATGTGGGAAGGTTGTGGAGAGGAGCGTGATGGGTGTGACGGAATGAGCAAGGTAGGTGGGGGCGCACAGGTGAACACAAGGCACACACCAGGTACACAGAGGGAAGGGGTAACATGGAGTGTTGGGAGAGGAAAATGGGGAGTGACAGAGAGAAGGATTTGGGGAGGGACATAGGGAAGGGATATGGTGAGGGACAGAGGGGTGGGATATGTTGAGGGACGAGGGGTGGGATATGGGGAGGGACAGAGTGGTGAGATATGGGAGGGACAGAGGGGAGGGAGATGGGAAGGGACAGAGGGGAGGGAGATGGGGAGGGACAGAGGGGAGGGAGATGGGGAGGGACAGAGGGGAGGGAGATGGGGAGGCACAGAGGGATGGGGAAATCCGGAAGGACAGATTGGGACGGACAGAGGGAAGTGGCGGGTGGAGGGACAGGGGGGATGTGAAATGGGAGGGACAGGTGGCAGGGGAAATGGGAGAGACAAAGGGAAGGGGAAATGGGAGTGAGAAAGAGGAGACTAGATAGGGAAGGATAGAGGGCAGTGGAAATGGGGAGGGACAGTGGGAAGCGGTAATGGGAGTGACAGAGGGAAGTGGCAATGGGAAGGGACAGAGGGAAGGGGAATTGGGGAAGGAAAGAGGGAGGGGGGATGGGGAGGTTCAGAGGGAAGGGGTAACATGGAGAGTATGGGAAAGGGAAACAGGGAGTGACAGAGAGAAGGGGTAATGTGGAGGGACATAGAGGAGGGGCAATGGGAGTGACAGAGGGTAGGGGAAATGGGGAGGGACAGAGGGAAGGCAAAATGGGGAGGGACGGCGGTGTGTGTGGTGCAAAAGGGTGAGGGACAGAGGAACAGCAAAATGGAGAGGGATGGAGGGAAGGGAAAATGGGGAGGGAGTGAGGGATGGGGAAATGGGCCGGGATGGAAGGAAGGGAAAATGGGGAGGGTCGGAGGGGGGGCAAAATGAGGAGGGACGGAGGGACTAGTTACGAGGGGTGACTTTGGAAAAAAAGGGAGTGAACAGGGACGGAGGGGTGGGGAAATGGGGCGTGACGCACGTAAGTGAAAGGGGGAGAGTCAGAGGGATTGGGAATTGGGGAGTGACTGAGAAACGGGGATATGGGGCGGGTTTAAGGAAAGGGGAAACACAGCGGTGACTCCGAAACGCGGAAATGGGGAGTGAATGGGAAACGGGGAACTGGGGAGGGACATGGGACAC